CAGAAACATTTCGAGAACTTCATAGAAATCTATGGAGCTTAAGGGGAGATCCGCGAACTTCAGGAATTTTTATGAACATTAGCAAAATGTGGGAGCATTTCAAAGAAGTTAACCCTCCGTTACTCGCGCTGTTGTACTTTGTACAACACACATGAGTTTTCCTTTGCCATTTTGTTGCTGAGTTACCAATCGATCTGAAACCAACGAGTATTCCTCAAAAAACTTGTTTTGATCGAAACAAGCTAAACTTTTATCGCAGTAAACACCTAAAAAATGCGGATAATAGGGAAAATGTAAATGGAAACCTCGTAAACTGTGACCATACTACGTGGGAGTTGACTTAATTGATTACAACATGGAATATATCGAGAACCTGACTAAATAGAAAGTTACTGCCTCCGACAAAGTTGTTCAGGAGATCATAGCCTTGTCGCTGGCGGACAGTAGTTCAGAATTTTCTCACTACGTAGCGCTAGTATACATGTGAAATTCTCGCATGTGATATATCTCGAGATCCTGACCAGATAGAAAGTAACTGTCTTTAACAAAGTTGTTCAGGAGGTCAAAGCCTATTGCTTGGTACTTAATAGTTCAGAATTTGCTCACTATGCGACGCTAGTATACACGTGAAATTCTCATATAAAATATCTCGAGTTTCCAACCAGATAAAAAGGTACTGTCGTCGGTATAGTTGTTCAGGAGGTCAAGACTTTTACGCAGGTGGACAGTACTTCAGAGTTTTCTCACTTTGCGGTGCTACTATACATGTGAAACTCTTGCATATAAAATATCTCTAGATCCTGACGAGATAGAAAGTAAATGTATTGGGCAAAGATTTTCAGGAAGTCAAGATCTTTTTGATGGGTGACAATAGTTCAGAATTTTCTCACTATGCGGTGCTAGTATACACGTGCCTTTCTCGCATATTCAATAGTTCGAGATCTTGATCAGCTAGAAAGTTGCTGTCTTCGGCAAAGTTGTTTAGGGGATCAAGACTTTTTGGCTGGTAAGCAGTAGTTAAGAATTTTCTCACCACATGGTGTTAGTATACATGTACATTTCTCGCATATGTTATATCTCGAGATCCTGATCAGATAGAAAGTTACTGTCTACGACAAAGTTGTTCAGGAGGTCAAGGTATTTTGGCTGCTGGGCAGTAGTTCAGAATTTTCTCACTTCACGGTGCTAGTATACATGTGAAATTCTCGCATATAAAATATCTCAAGTTCTTGACCAGATAGAAAATTACTGTCGTCGGCAAAGTTGTTCAGGATATCACAAATTTTTTGCTCGTGGACAGTTGTTCAAAATTTTCTCAATACGTAGCGCTAGTGAAATGTGAAATTCTCGCCTGTAATATATCTCGAGATCCTGACCAGATAGAAAGTTACTGTCTTGAACAAAGTTGTTCAGGAGGGTAAAGCCTAGAATTTGTGAGAAAATTCTGAACTACTGTTCACCAGCCAAAATACCTTGACCTCCTAAACAACTTTGTCCTAGACAGTAACTTTATATCTGATCAGGATCTCGAGATATAGCATATGCGAGAAGTGTACATGTATACTAACGCCACGTGATGAGAATTTTTTAACTACTGTTTACCAGCCAAAAAGGCATTGACCTCATGAACAACTTTTTCGAACACAATAATTTTCTACCTGTTCAGAATCTCGAGCTACTGTCCACCAGCCAAAAATTCTTGAACCCCCTGAACAAGTTTTCCGAAAACAGTAACTTTTTATCTGCTCAAGATCTCGAGCTATTGTATATGCGAGAATTGCATGTGTATATTAGCACCGAGTAGTGAGAAAATTCTGAACAACTGTCCACCAACGAAACGATCTTGACTTCCTGAACAACTTTGCCAAAGACATTTACTCTCTATCTGGTCAGAATCTAGTGATGTATCACATGCGAGAACTTAACATGTATACGAGCACTACCTAGTGAGAAGATTCTGAACTACTGTTCACCAGCAAAAAGGCTATGATCTCCTGAACAGCTTTGCCTAAGACAGTAACTTTCTTTCTGGTCAGGATCTCGAGCTATTTTATGAGAATTTCACGTGTATACTAGCGCCGCGTAGTGAGACAATTCTGAACTACTCTCCACCAGCCAAAAATACTTGACCCCCTGAAAAAGTTTGCCAAAGGCAGTAACTTTCTATCTGGTCAAGAACTTGAGATATTTTATTTTTTCTGAACTACTCCACCAACGAAAAGGCCTTGACCTTCTGAACAACTTTGCCGAAGACAGTAACTTTCTATCTGGTCAGGATCTCGAGATATTTTATATGAGTATTTCACGTGTATACTAGCGCCGCGTATTGAGAACTATTGTGCACTGTCGTGACCTGACCGAGGTTTCAAGCCTCGGCCATTTGTCTCAACAAAGACTAGCACAATGCACAACCGTGCGCTACAAAATTAGTTAAATGACTGATTTCACCATGCAATCATGCACAAAGGCGAAGCACATGCTTCGAGTAGTTTCCTAATCGCATGTATATGTATGTGTGCGTTTCTTTGATCATCAAATAATCGCTACACGCTGACTTCAGTATACTCAAGTCGTTTGTTTTATAAGACTACACGCTGAATCAAGTTTACTCAAGGTATAGTTATCGTTATTCACTATGATTATTATTCAGTACCAACTCTATCTACCACATGCACCATTGTGTATTTGAACTATTGTGCACCAAGAAATAGGCTTTGATCTCATCGAAAACTTTGTCGACGACAGTAGCTTTCTATCTGGTCATGATCTCGAAATATATCACATGCGATAATTTCACATGTATTCTAGCAATACGTAGTGAGAAAATTCTAAACTAGTCTCCACCAGCGAAAGGTTCTGTAGAACGATTTTGCCGAAGACAGTAACATCAACAATCAATACGAAACTAACGATTTTAAATTGGCTCACCACTTTAGTAGCCTATTGGTCCCAAGCAAACGATTAACGTACCCTATTCTAGTTGAAATTCTATTACTACACTATGTTTGTTTTGATTCGCTATGAAAGTTTGACAGCTAACATCAGGGGTGTGTGGATTCATGCAGAACATGCAGGGGTGAGTGAAATAGCTTGGGACCGTTGTTCTGGTACTGAGTGAGCCAAAAATAATATTGATTTTCTTCGGGACCCAGTGGTCTTAGAGTTACCTCTATGGTAACATTCTAGCTGGTCAGGATCTCGAGATTTTCCATGTCAAAGTCAAATCCCACGTAGTACGGATACCGTTTACGCGGTTTCCATTCCAATTTTCTCTATAATCCGTATTTTTTGGGGGTTAACTGTGATAAAAGTTTAACTTGTTTAGTTAAAAACAAGTTTTTTAAGGAATACCCGTTAGTTTCATATCGGTTGGTAGCTCGGGTGCAAAATGGCAATGGAAAACTCACACTGTTGTACAAAGTACAACGCGCGAGTACTCGTGTTACAAAAATTGGCGCGAGTAACGGAGGGTTAAGTAAGCTCCGAAAATTGGAGGAATTTCGGGGGGATTTGAGTTCCATTAGTTTCAGAAAATTTATGGGAAATTTAAAGCAGTTCCCAGATTTTCAGATAACTTCAGAGACGTTAAAAAGTTAATTGAAGTCTTCGCATAAGTTCAGAAGTTCACTGAAGCTTAAAATTTTTTAGGACTTTCTTCATAAGAACTACAAAAAGTTTATAGGAGTTTGAGAATTTCAGAAAAGAACAGAGAACCTCAGAGCAGTTCCGTTAACATTAGAGAAATCACATAAATTTTAAAAAAGTTTAGAGAGACTTCAGCGAATTTTTAAACCTTTAAAGGAGATCCATGAGCGTTAGCAAAATTGAGGAAACTTTAGGAAGACCTATAAAGTACGGGGAAGTTTCAGAATTTGATGAGAAGTATTGTGAGCATCAGGATAGTTTCTCAAACTACAAAAGAACTTCAAGGCAGTTTAATTAACTTCAGGAATAATTTGGGAACTTTCAAGTAGTTCTGAAGTCGTCAGAATAGTCCATTCCATATTCAACGGAGAGATTTCCATTGAAATATTCCTCATAATTTCGATGAATCTATCCTCCGAATTCAATTTTCTTTTAGTTTTCCTCACCACAATAAGAAACCCTTTGGAAAGGTTATCCGAATATTCATTGAAATCATATCGGATTTCCTTTTGAATCTCTTTCCTGCCCTTGGAATTCTACTTACATTTAAAGTTTCTTAAGAATTCATTGGCATTTATCCTCACAAATCCCTTAGATGAATTCTCGTGAATTCATTTTCCAAACTCCTTTGAATATGTCCTGGAGTTATTTTCAGATTTAATTATAGTACTTCCACGTACTTCTTTTAGTATCTTCTAAAAATTTCCGAGGACTTATGTTCCGGATTCGTTTTCTCCCACAAACTTTATGAAATTACGCTCAGAATACCCTTGAAATTTTCCTCTGAAGTTCATAGGAGTTGTGCTTCTCATAAATTCCTAAGAGTTTTCATTAAAATTTACTTTTAATTCAATTCAGGGTTTCTTAAAATTCTACTCAAAACTAACACCTCTACAGACTTCAATTGAAATCTAAAATTCATCATTTCTCCAAGATGACCTATAGTCACAGAGAACAGACATGGAGGCTCGAACAAAATTTCTCTAAAAACTTGTGTAAAGATTCCTATTCGACTTAAGCGCCACTAACAGCGACTTCCCCACTTAAAAACTCTCTTTGACAACATGATGGCGCTGGCGTTGCACAAATTACACTAGACACTAAGTGCTAGTAGCGCCAAGTGGCAATTTTCAACAGAAAATGTATCGATACTAGCGCCAAATTGGTCGAAAGTGGAAAATTTATAGAGAAAATCAGGAGATGCTAACACCACGTAACGGCGACGTTCCCACTTATTTTACACAAGTTTCTGACCGAACTTGAAGGTCTGTTCTCTGTGCCTGAACGCTGCTTATGAGTGCTCCACTAACAACCCAATTCATAAATTTCAATGTAAGGTGTCGTTTATTGTAATTCAAAAACAAGTTCGAACTCAGTTCATTTGAGTTCACTTGAGGTCATACAAATTGTAAATAAGAAAAGGAAAAAAAAAGGAATTTATAACATAACAAAAAGTAACCCATTCACATCTCCTTCTCGACGTAAGCTGGTCGCATTCCAAAATCAAACTTAAGCTGATCGTTGCACAAATACGGATACACCGCCGATTGATGAATGAAGTGCGGAACGCCCCAGTTTGAATGCACGGTAAACTTATGTGTCAGTTCCCGTTTGAACGAGATCGTTGGATTATTCGGATTGTAGACCTTGATGAAGATGTCGAACCTGAAAGGATTGAGTTTTAAAATCAGTCGCAAGGAAATTCGCATTGTACGTCAATTTACCATCCTTCGACACCATTCAGCAGTTCCAGGAATACGCTAACGTACTCGCCTTGCTCCCAGTGGCCGTTGCAATCGATCCGGAAACGCCATGAAATGTTTTGATGGTCGAACATGATGTTCGAAAACAGGATGCGATTGGCAACCTTGTTATACGAAAACTTATGCACCATGTACGTAAATGTCCTGTAATTCAACCTACCAAAAGAAAGCAAAAGTTAACCACTTGAGATTCCATCAAAAGCTAAGCCAACTCACCGTTTGAGTTTGTTTTCTGCCAAGGCAGTTGCGCAGCGAAGGCCATACATCGGATCCGTTGGTCTTGTGGCAAAAGCAATCTGGTAGCCCTTTACACCCCATGCCTTCTGGCGTGCTTGGTTAATGTCAATTAACCTTTGACACGCGGTGGATTGACTTCCGACCGTGAAGTCATCCACCGCGTAGTAAGTTTCCAGTGGTTGATTGCCCTTATCGAATATCTTGAACCGATATTCATAGCGCAGTGGCGTGCCCCGAACCAGCTTAAGATACAAGCTGATAAATTTTCCCTTCGCATCGCTGTATCCACCCGGATATACCGTCAGTTCCCAAGTGTTGCCCTGTCGGTCCGTAGCAGATAACAGCTGCTCTGTGTTTGTTTCGGTTAGGAAAAAAGTTTTCTCTTCAAAATCCGTGTTTGGCAGATAGTAGGAAGACGTTGTTTGTTGAGCATTTCCGGCAATCACTGGCTGGATAATCTTATCGATTTCGGTTTGGATAGCACGTTGCTGTTGTACCCACTCCAGCGGACTTCCCATTGGGATTAGAGATTTGATTTTTTGCAACGCTTTCTTAGCGATATCTCCACCGTAACCGAAACTGCAGGCCACTTCTACCAGCTGCAAGTTCATTTTGTTCTCCATCGCTTTGAACGCATCAACCATTTCCCTCCGCAGAGCATCCAGGCTTCGCACCGGATGACGATAGTGCGGGCTTAGGTTTCCCGTACATGCGCGGCAAATGCATTCAACGCACTGCTCGCAGTAAAACTCGATTAAATTTCCGTCACGCGGACAACCGTACCGTCCGCGTCTGTCTGCTTGCAACTGGAAGACGTGCCGACATTTCGGACACTCTTGCTTCTGCTGGAACCAACGGCCCAGACACTCGTAGCAGTTACCCTGCTTGCACTGGGGACAAAAAATCGGCCACTGCAGCTTTTCGTAACAGATGATGCAGGTTTCGTCCAGAAGGCTGATTTCCAGCGGAAACACAATCCCGTTGATGGCCATCTTGTCTGCAGAAGCGAAATTTTTCACTGGAAACTAGAACTAGAACTAAAAAAAAGCTTACCTCACTTTCGTCTTGGTGAAAAAAAATCTTCAACTGTGCTGGCTGTGACTGAAGTCCTCCAAGTAAAAGTATGGACGACTGTTACAACAAAACTGAAAAAAAGTTGTTCCAATCGAGCAAAGCAGTGCATTTGGACGGTTCGATTGGAACAACTTTAGACAGACGTCCATACTTTTACTTAGAGGACTTGGATATGACTGGCTCCATGGAGTGGGTGCACTTATCGCGCTGTCGTCATGAAAACCAACTGGCGGGAGTATACTCGAGGATTGCTTTAATTGCTTGCTGACTAATCAAATTCAAAACATCAACATCGAGTTCGAAACGTCTCGGTTTGTACATACACAGCAAAAAAAAATGTAATATCGATCAACGTAATTCAAGCTGATGTATGAAATAATGACGTAATAGCAAAAATCAGATACAATATTACATCAATGGATGTAATTTTGTTCGCAAAATCGATGTACATCGTACAATGTGATATTGCACAACCGATGGATTGACCTGGTTGCAGCAGTTTCGATGTAATATTCAACAACTTTTTTTGCTGTGTACACTCAAAAAAGTCCCCTCGTCTGATCAAAGTGTTGAAACCACAAACGAAGTGACAGACGGAGCGGCTCGAAATTTGGTTTGACGCACTTACATTTGAAATTTTCGAGTGTACCTCACGGCAACACTATCTCACGGCAAGAAAAAAATACTCAAAATTAAGTTTAAAAAAACTCAACGTTGGGTTCTATCATTTGAGGTCTGCCGTTGAGTGAATCAGAAAAGCGGCGTTGGTTAAAATTTACTCAACTATTGAGTAATAATAAATAAACTCAAATATAAGTTTATTTTCATTGAGGTTGCTCTTATGCGCCTTTAACCATTTCAGTTTTACAAGCGTTGATAGACGAGTGGTCAACACACGGGCCCCGTAATCTCAACGTCCATGGTTCGGTTCCAGTCTGCTCCGTTTTATTATTTTTTTGTCAACTTAGTCAACGATCAGGATTACTCAAAATTGAGTTTTCTTCTTTAACTTAATTTTACCTAGCCCCACGGAAGCCACGTGATGAGTGAAAGGAACTCAATTTTGGGTACTTTTTTCTTACCGTGTACTCATATGTACTAGCTTAAAGTAGTTGATGCTATTGGGGCACCGCCTGTTATCTCTTTTTCTCTAACGAAAATTGAAAGGGAGAGCCTGTTGTCAAACTGCATGTCACTATGTTGTGTTCATTGTTATCTGCACTTCTTTTGTATAATGAAAGACCTTAGGCCAAAATGATTAGGAGTAAACACATCGGGTTAACATTTGCTTACAAATAAACGATGTTGAGCTGTCAATGACTCGCGCTTTTTGGCGGCAATTGTTGCTAAAGATTTCATCAGTCGGTGCTCCTAACCAAAGCCATGGTCATTCGCGACCGAGAAGATATCGTTGTTGGACGCCAAACAGGACCCGCCCGTAAAAAATCCAATAAAAATACAATGATTTTGAATGGAGATTTTGGTTGATTATCATAAAATCAAAACGAAAATCATGGTATATGAGAAATGTACAGTAAAAAAGGGGGGTTGTTAAGCATCTTAAGAATAAAAAAACTGATTTTTCTCGAACAAATTTGATCTCATCAAATTAATTTTCATTGAGAATTGTATCTTTTAAAACGAAATTTATTTTTTCACCCGTCCAATAATTTAACAATAAATTTATAATGTGCCCGAAATTCAACCGTAAAAATCATTGTAATTTCGTTATTTTATTATAATTATTTTTTTTCGGGTGGCCATACTCGGTATGCATTTGCTCCTCCGTAGAGGAACTGAAAGCTCTCGACGAGGGCGATCTGAAGAAGGAAAATTTACTCCAAAATCATGCCGAAATCCATCGAATCGATCGACGTGCTGAAGGTGAGATGGTGAGAATGAAGGAGGATCGAATGAAACCAATTTTGTTCAATTTATTATTTATTTCGGCTAAAGATGCTGTATGTCACGCGTTTGAGCATGATTGCGGTACGATGGTGCGATGCTCTATTCTGGACCGGGCTACTAGACGTGGCAAAACTAGTCATTATACCTGCTACGTGTACCTTGTTACCTGAAGACGAGGAGGGAATCTTCGGATTAATGGAGGAGGACATCAGAAATGAGGAAGCTCGTATCCGAGGACAAAAGTGTTACATCTGCAAGGAACGGTATGCAAACGTTTGGTGTTGCGCGAAGAAGTGCTTCCGTTCATTCCATACGCTTTGTGGGATGCAGAATGAGTGCCTGTCGCATTACGTGGAAACGTTCCAGTCGTGGTGCGATAAGCACGTAGCGCTGGTGGATAAGGTGAAACACTCCGAGACCGAAGCCAGTGGGATTTGCTACGATGATATGGGACCGTACAGGAAGCTGGAATCGATTCGTGACCCGTGCTGTCAGAATAGCTGGTTCCATCGGAGCTACGTGGCACAGTTTGCCCAATCGGCGATGTACTTTTTCAATTGCCCTTTGTGCAACAAGGACGACTTTAGTCAGCAGATCCATCAGCGTGGCATTTATATTCCGGAAAATTAAGCGAAGCGGCGGAGGTGGGTGAATCGGTATTTGAATACTGAATATTTTATTTTAATTGTTCGAGGGATGCCTCGTGGGAGCTGGAACCGAATGTATTCAACGATCAGTTGGAACGTCCTTCGGAGTGTGACGCTGAAGAGTGTCGCTGTCGGTATGGGCGAGATTACGACGATTGCAAGCGTTGGGATCTGATCCTTTGTGCAACGTGCGGTTCGACTTGTCGCCAAGATCAGTGCATGGAGGTTCCCTCGAAGAACTATGTTTTCACCTTTTGTCGTCCGATTGTCCGAAAGACGCCGAAAGCGGTTTTGAAGCTAGCCGAGGCTTCCCGAAGAGTGGAAGCAGCAAGATGGGGGAAGCCGGTAACGATAGCAGAGAGGGGAGTTCTAGGGGCCGATCTAGTGGCAGACGTCAGATTGAATCGGATGATTCAGATTCTGAAGAGTCAGTTGCATTGACGACCAAACGCAAATCTCAGAAAAGACGAACCGCAATAGACAGTGACGACAGCGATTCCGATCTGGTTTCTACACGAAAGAAACCAACGTCGAAATGACGGCTGTCCACGTCTTCATTTAGTTCTTCCTCGTTCGTTTCTTCGAAGCGAAGAAATCAGTCTGGAGGAACTGGTCAAGAAGATTCCACTGCCACGAGGAACTTCCGTCGAAAAATTACTTCGAGTCAAACCGGTCGTAAAGCTCGAGAAGCTCAGCTCGGAAAAGATCAAAACGTTGACTTCTTCGGAGAATGAAGACGAAGCATCCTCCGCCGGATCGTCGACCGTGTTCGATTTCAACTATCGTGTGAAGTTAAACAAAAAGCAGGGCCGAAAATCGATGGTAGAATTGCAGCCGATCAAACAGGTCATCCGCTCCGACACGAACACGCTAACGGATGCCTCGGTGGAGATCGTGCGTCCCAAGACGCCTGCCCAGAAATCTTTTGGAAAGCAGTTCAAACTGAAGCTTTTTGGGTCGAAAACCGTCCCACGAAAACGTTCCACCAGCGAGTCTGATCCGGAGTACGTTACAGCGAAGAAAAGTTGATTTAATTTTAATGACGAACTTGCAGAATTTTCCAGCACTAGTGCACTAAGCAGGTCTTTCCCACGGCGCAATAGATTACTGCCAACGGTGCCACCTCAAGCGGAAATGCGATTCGAGACCGGGTTGACGTTGATGCTCAAAAGCGAGAAAATGTTCCGGATTTCTCTACCCATGCGAATGTCAGCTGGTATCACACTGCTTACAGGTACTGAGGGAGAACCTTCCAAAACTTCTAGTGTTTGGACTGGTGGTATGGCACAAAGAATGCACAATGCACCACGAACCGACGGAGAATCGTATGTGCTGTGATCAATGTGATTGGTGAGGCAGAAGGAAACAAGCCAGCACTTGCATTATCACGACGTTCTTATGCATAATCTAGTGTGACGAAACGTTGGATCATGCGTAAGAACACCGTGAGAACGACAGAGTCGACTACATTCCTTCTGCCGCACCTATAGTAACGCACACGGCTCCCGCGCTGACTGTTCCTTACTTTCTCACTCTAATCAAAATTTCCTTCGATGAGTGAGAAAACAGCACCCCGTCAACACGAGCAAGGACACGAGTTGCCAGATCATTGCACACAAAACCAACTTGAATTAATTCAAAACAAAAATACTAGCGAACCTGGCGGTGAGGGGCGGAAGGTGGACTAAAATTCTATTACAGAGAACCACATAATTTTAATTCATTTCTTCGGAGAAAGTCGCCTGTAACTTCGTTTGTGGTACGATTATGAACGATCGTTGGAAACACGAACGCTCAACCGAGTCAGACGACGAGCGCAATCGACACTGACACCACAAACGAAGTGACAGACGGAGCGGCTCGAAAACTTTGGTGACTAACCTGCTATTGTAATTTTTCAGTGTACCACATGGCAACACCACTACTACTGGATTGTACCACATGGCAACACTACTACCACAAACGAAGTGACAGACGACTAACTGGCTGGTTCACTGTAATATAATTTTATTGGAAGCTTGTGCCATCATCCACCAGATGGGTTAGTTTTTTTGTTTTGATTTGAACAAAGTTGATTTTGTGTAAAATGATTCTTTGACAGTGTGCAAAGAGTGTAGGTATCATTTTGCCATTTTTTTTATGCATTTCAGTTTTGAGTAGAGTGAAAGAGATAGAACCAAAACATTCTAATACATTTGGTGAAAATGCTAGTACAATCCAGTAGTAGTGTTGCCATGTGGTACAATCCAGTAGTAGTGGTGTTGCCATGTGGTACACTGAAAAATTGAAATAGCAGGTTAGTCACCAAAGTTTTCGAGCCGCTCCGTCTGTCACTTCGTTTGTTCTACTACTGAATTGAACTAGTATTTTCACCAAATGTACTAGAATGTTTTGGTTCTATCTCTTTCACTCTACTCAAAACTGAAATGCATAAAAAAAAAATGACAAAATGATACGCACTCTTTGCACACTTTCAAAGATTCATTGTACACAAAATTAACTTTATGCAAAACCAAAACAAAAATACTATCCCATCTGGTGGATGATGGCAAAAGCTTCTAAGAAAATTCTATTACAGCGAACCACATTATTTTAATTGATTTCTTCGCCAGCTAGATGTCTGTCACTTCGTTTGTGGTAGTGCTTTCGGCGCGTGGTGTTGAACATTGTTCTCCAGTACACAACGAAAGGCTGCCTGCAAGCAGCGAGCTGCAGCCCACATGAGCATCCAACGGAAGGAGGAAGAAGCCGCACCGCTATTGATCGGAATCAGTAGCTCTTCGTGAGTCGCTATGGGCCATCTATGTCAAGCGCGTCATACTAAAGAGTACAAACAGAGAGAACCCCGCTCAAATTCCTATTCCTACACAAAACACAAGCTCCTACTGGCTGCAGTTAACAAATAAGATTAATTATATAAGACCGCGTAGATCTACGCCACCATTGCGTACAATCCCATAGGGCTATTGTACAGCAAGAAATCCCCCTCAATTATAGATTTGGTCATCATTATCTTAGACCTAATCACCGGAAATCCTATGTATGAGTGCTCATTGCAAGACATTGCATTGAGCCTATATTACATGATACAAGCCACTAAACAAATTTTCCATGAGCATAGGAAACTCCATAGTACATTGGAAACATACCTGTAATACTTATATTATCGCGTTAATCAGCAATAAGTTATCAGTGCATAATTCGAAGCATATAAACATGATTTAACAGGTCCCGTTTCCTTCCATTCGCAGGATATCCCCGTCGGACGAGCTGAAGGAAGAACTGTACGAAATCGACACCGACCACGACCGGCTGGACGAGCAGATGACCCGTTCGCAGGCGGACACCATCACCAAGCAGGGCTATCTCCTGAAAGGTCCCGACACCAACTCCGACCGCATGTTCGCCCACATCGGATCCAAGTCCTTCAAACGGCGCTACTGCTACCTCCGGCAGGAAATCGACGGCACCTACATCCTCGAGCTGCACAAAGACGAAAAGCAGGTCGAAGCTAAAACGACCATCGTGATGGACTTCTGCACCGAGGTGGTGCCGAATCCGAAGAAGGGCCGCCACTGTTTCGAACTGAAGATGAATGCCCCCCAGCAGAAGTCGTTCACCCTGGCCGCGGACGACGAAGCGGATATGGAAGATTGGTTGAAGAAGATATCGTCGGTGATACAGCAGAACAAACTGCAGGAGGACAAACGGGTGGCTTCGTTGGAACGGACGACGGCACCGCCGCCGCCTCCGGCCAGTCCCAGTACGATGATGATGTACGGGACATTGAAGGGACTGGACCAGAGTATGAACCCGCAGCTGATGAAATATGGCCGCGAAACGGACATGTCGATTGCCCAGGCTAGGAAGGACAACCGAAGGCGCTTGTTTGGGGCGTACCAACAGCATGGAGCGGGTGGATCGGCCAAGGTTTCAGTTTCGAGTAAGGCGGAACCCGTGGAGCCGTACCGGGAGCAGTTTGGTCAGAGGATTCTGCTCAAATGTGATTCACTCAAGTTCCGACTGCAAGCCCCGGTGGAGGGCAGTTGTCCTTCGCCAGCATCGAACGGGGAAGGCGAAGTGGCGCTCTGTCAGGTAAGTGCAAGGATGTCATCGAACGGAACTACGGACACGGCATCTAACTTACACTTTTGTTCACTGATAATTTATTGGCTTCTCAGAAACTAAAATTGATCTTCAGTCGCGCCTTCAAGCACTGGACGCGACTATACTTAAAAGTAAATTAGGATTAAAACAGAAGAATACGGAGCGAGCGCGCGTGAAAATTCAATCATCCACTGTCACGTGAATCACAGCATTCGGGTGGATCTTCAAATCGAGCAGTGTTTGACTCCCGTCGAGTGAGGCCAGATCTGTCTTGACGGCCGGGCAGAAGAACCGAACCGGTTTGCCTTTCTGGTCGGCGCATTTGGTTGTAAATTTGTTCATTAGTTTAGCTTTCGTGTGATCCAGGGTTCGAGAACTGCGGAAGAACAGTCGTTCGGTCAAATCGCCGGGCATTTTGAGCATGATGCGGGTCTTTTCCGCCGGCGGAAGATTTGCCTCGTCATCTGAGCTTAGAATCGGTGAGCTGGGCGTTTCCGTTGGGATTGTGGCCTGTTTCGAGGGGGAATTGGACGTCGGGGTGTCCGGTTCCATGTCACTTTCGCTGCTGTCGGTTATTTCTTGGAAGTCTTCCTCTTCCTCTTCGTCCGGAATCCAGATGGCCTTGCCGGAGCCGGAAGCTTTGGAACCGTTGGCGCTAGTGGAAGTGGAAGCTTGCGAAGTCGACGGGTGCATGAAGCTGGATTCGATAAATGTCACATCCTTCCCGTGGGGTGATTTCTTTTCCGTCATGAAAGTCTTCAACGTGGACAGAAACTTTACCGGATCGGCATCGCTGGCTGAGAACTTTTCCACCTCCTCACCGGTGCGGGGGTCAATCATCCCGATATAGGGCTCATTGTTGACTTTGTAAAACGTTTTAAACTTGGCACCATCCGTCGTCTTGTTGGACGTCTGCCAGAAGATGAGATTATTCCTGAGAAAGTCTTTCAATCTGGGATCCGACCAGAGATCTCGATTCAACGTCTGGCAGCTGAAGTTCAAATCGTCCTGCAGATTCACCAGAATCCATTTGTCCACGCTTTTCCCGGTTCTCTGAGCCATATCGAAACTCCCGGAGAAGAGAATCTCGAATGGCGGCATGAACAGTGCCTCCAGTCGAGTTATCTTCTTCGAGGAAGGTCCCTGCCCTTGCATGAGCATCTGTTCCTGCAATTTCCCCTCCAGTTCAAAGTTGCGAAACGGAACCTCCGTGATCGTTGCTCCCCGTCGCTTCAATCTTCCCCGGGTGGTATCCTCTTGCGGCAGTAGAACTTCCATCTTTCTCGGTATCGGCGCCCGGACATTGTCCTCCTCGTCATCGATCACGACTGGTGGATCCGGATTCAAAACGCCTTCCGGATTCTCGAAAAATGCATTGATCGCTCCCTCCAAATTACCATTGTATGCCGTCAGAAGGTTCGCTGCCTGTTCCGGTTTCAATCCGGTGATTTCCCGCAACGATTTTACATTCTCCTCTGTGGACATCTGAAAACGATTTCTCCGATAGTTTTACGAGAACAAAAAATAGCTCATTTCCACCTACCTTCAGCTAATTCACACCCGACGGTTCGAGACGGAAGAATACGAACAAAAAGTACTTCCAAAACAGTAACTGCAGCAGCAGCAGCAGCCAATTGCCACAAAGAGAGCAGCAGATGAAAATCCACACCAATGGATGTGGTGACGATGGAGGCCCCGTTTGGAAGCTTTCCCAGCGTCGTTCGAGCCCTTTGCCGGACAAATTCCTTTTGATTACCACTTGCACTGAACTTCACATCGTTTGAATGGCCGATCTGGACAATTTTTAAACGGATTTGCACTGAAAAATTGGAAACAAAACAAGAGCACGATCTGAAAACGCGACGATCCGCGGCTGATGGTGTTGGTTCTGTTTGACGTTTTGCGTGACGTTTCTCTCGTGTTCGTGTTGTTTGGCGTTTCTCTCGTGAGAGGTTTCGTCAACCGGAGAGTGCGAGAGCGAATGATGCGAGAATGAACACTGAAGCTTTTAAATTTTAACGAAATCAGTCCAGAGTGAACTTGACGAAGCGTTGCAAGCTTGGTTTGCGCGCAAACTATCAATCAACCTCGTGGTGTGAGGAAATGCCGCCAGCTTGTGCACCGAAATGGTGATTTTAAGGAGGATGAGAATCCTTACACAGTTTGAAAATGGCGAAATGAATGCTGAAAATTTGGTTGAGCTCATTTTAAACTACATAAATACATCGACAGGAGGTTATGAGAACTATTAGACCCCATCTCCTCCAGTTTAAACCCCAAACGAAGTTCGTTTGTGGTTTAAACAATGTTCATACATTTTTTGGAAAATAAAAGGTATGATTCAAATATGACGTCCACTCTGTAGTGGGGAGGAGGTCCTAGAATTTATGTCAGTACATGTGAAAAACGTGACACAGGGGGCAGGGAAGGCAATAAAAATCAAAAAACTGTTGGATGTTATATTCCATTCGCCCCATATAAATCGTAGCTTGTCTAAGAAGTTTAATTAACAGCCTCTCAACTATTTTTTCTAGGAGCCTCGTCATTCTTCTTGTAAAACCTCCACACTATGACGCGAATGTCTGAACTGACGATAATCCCCTGTTTTTACTGTTTCTACGAACAAATCTTAATGGGGTGTTCACATCTGTGCGCTAGCCGGCGCCGGTGGTGTAGTGGTAAGCGTGACTGCTTTCTCACCCCAATGTGTCTGGGTTCAATCTCAGCCGAGGTCGGTGGGATTTTTCTGAGGCATAAAAATCTCTGGTCACGTCTTCCTTCGGAAGGGAAGTAAAGCCGTTGGTCCCGGAACATGTGTGTTGATGAATGGGTGCGATATCCTACGCAGGTCCTTCCTGCACATTCGATTGCCGTCAATGGATGGCAATCGATGTCCGTCAGTGATTGGCACTAGATTGCGGAACAGAGACCGACGTTAAATCGAGGGGGCGATACATCTAAATCTCAAATTTAGATGCTCAATAAATCTCACACTAGCGAATAAATCTTCTTTCATTTCTCGCAAGTATCGCGCTTCATCTTTTTGCAGGAAATCTTCAAAATCGTGATAAATCTTCTTTCTATCTACTCAGCGTACGCGCAGCTAGCCACAGCAAAACACAATATTTCCTGGAGCGTAGATAGAGTCGTCCCCCTCGCGTTAAATAAAGGAAAGAAGATACATCTGTGCGGATTTACTCGCGCTAGTGTACTCGCCAACTAGCACGAATTTCAGTAGCTCCTGAAATTTCATGCTGGTAGACGCTGATGCCCTGTTTACATTATGCTAGTGAGCTTTTTTGCTAGCAGCTATCTCATTAGCGCTAGTGAAATAGCATAAGTGTAAACACCCCTTAAACAAACAATACGCTTTCTTCACTTGCAGCTCGAACCATACCTCTCCAGTGTGGCACTGTACGACGCAAAGAACTGTCGCAAACTGACCGAAAGCTTCTACTTCGACCTGAACAAAGATCACGTACGGGACATGCTCAACGCCAGCTGGGAAGCGGATAAGCCCCAGTGTACCTCTCCAAAGCCAACCAGCAAAGCCCACCAGAATGGCAACGGCACGCTGCGGCACTCCAAGACCCGCTGCGACACCAGTGACGATCTGCATCCGGATGTGACGAAGGAATGGACAGCACGTGCGAAGCAAGCAATTTTCAGCGTTACCTCGCCCAACCCGGACATCTTCGTGGTGGTGAAGATCGATAAGATCCTGCAAGGGGCCATCAATCCCTCGGCGGAACCGTACTTGAAAGCCTCGAAGGATGTCAAATTGCTGTGCAAGCTCCAGAAGACCGTAAGGCAGTACGCGCATAAGTGTGGTCACTATCGGATGCCGTTTGCGTGGGCGGCAAGGCCGCTCTTCCGGTTGTACAGCAATGAGCTGGACACTTCGTTTGACTTCCCGGCGATCTATCGACAGGAGGGTACCAAGTTGAAGGACGATGAACTGCTGAAGCTGCTGATGGAGTACAGGAGGCCGGATAAGTTCAGCAAACTCACCGTAATCCCGGGATCGTTGAAGATCTACATCGAGGCTTTGAATGAGCTCCCACCAAGTAAGTTCTGAAATATGCGTTTGTAAATGTTGGGTTCTGTATATAACGGAGGCGTTTTAAACTAGATTGCCTAACAACTACCCTGGTCCCATTGAAACCATTCCCGTCTCCACCAAGTGTTGACCCTACCCTGGAAGTAACCGAATTTGAAAACCGTGGTTCCGATCAGCATTTGAATCCGTATGCAACCTTCGTGAATCACTTGTACGTTTATCCGTTGCAATTGAACTACGACAGCCAGAAGATCTTTTCCAGGGCTCGCAACATTGCCGTACTGGTCGAGCTGCGTGACAGTGACACCACTGAGGCTAGGTCTATCGAGGTAGGTGTGCTAAGATGTATTCTCATGACAGGTTGATAACTCAAATTCCATTTCAGTGCATCTACGGCCGACCCGGTCAACCGATGCTCGTTTCCCAGATGTCCTGTCCCGTTCTGCATCACAACACTAGTCCCACGTGGTACGAGGAAATCAAACTCAGGCTTCCCCTTCGGATAACCGCTCAACACCATCTGCTGTTTTCGTTCTTCCACGTATCGTGCAACATTGCCAAAAAGAAGGATCTCGTATCGACCGCTGCCGAATCTCCTGTTGGCTACGCCTGGCTGCCACTGCTCACCAAAGGGAAACTGAACATCGAAGAACAGTGTCTACCGGTGGCGGCTTCCCTGCCTGCAGGGTACCTTTCGATTCAGCCTCTTGGTCTTGGAAAGGGGGTAAGTTTCATGTTTCATGCCCTTCTTCTTTTTTCAGTGCATGACCATCATCGCAGCCTACCATCCAAATCGTTCGAAGTATCTAACTGACTAATACACTCTTAGAACATTACCATTAACCAGTAGTGAATCTAACCTAGCTTCCGTATCTCCTTCTATTTCGTGTCATCTTGCTGCCCTCAAATGGCCACACGCTACAAAACTTCCATCCCCCCAGCAGAACTCCGGTCCGGAAATCCAATGGATCGACAACCAGCGGCAAATCTTCACGATCACCTTCCGACTAGACTCAACCGTCCTCACCACGGACCAGCACCTGCACAATCTATTCCTGCATGCCGAACGCCTGCTCGATCAGCCCAAAACTGCGGCCCTTCCAGCAGAATCCGAAAGCTGCAAGATATTGAAAGCTGCCCACGCTATCCAGATCAACTCGTTGATCACCTTCCTACCGACGATCTTGAATCAACTGTTCAGCCTGCTTGTTGCCACCCAGAGCGATGAAATCGGCCTCAACGTCATTCGGCTGCTCGTAAACACGTTCCACATGATCTCCGAAGAAGCCAAACGAAAAGAACTGCTCCTGTCCTACGTCAGGTACGTCTTCCGGATCGAGGCATTCCCGGTCAACGGTTGCTCTCCAACTTCCCAGCAAGTCAGCACTGTCCATGGTGAACTCTGCCGTCATCTGCCGACCCTTCTCCATCAGAACAATACGGACTTCCTACTCGTCAATAAGTTCATGAAATACTCCGGAATCTTCTTCGACATCATCATCAAAAGCATGGGTCAATTCCTTCTGAGCACGGGACGCATCAAGATGCAACGAAGTGAACGTTTCCCGAAAGAATTTTCCACCCGAATAGAGTCTCTGTTTAGTGTTCTCCTACCTTACCTGAACTCCCGACACAAGGATCTTCCGATGGAAACCGACACGCTTAACCAAAGTATGTCCGTATTTGTGAAACGTTGCCTCACCTTCATGGATCGTGGCTTCGTGTTCCGCTTGATCCGACTCTACATGGATCGCTGGTGCCCCGGGGATTCTCGCGTCCTACAAGAGTACAAGTTTGCTTTCATCCGTGAGATTTGCTCCCACGAACACTACATTCCACTGAATCTACCATTCCTACTGAGTCCAAACAATCGCCCGCCGGACTTGCTGCAGCAGTTCTGCCTTTCCGAAGACTTCTGCAGACAGCACTTTCTGGCCGGGATGCTACTGCAAGAGGTAAAAAGTTCACTCAACGAAATCAGCCACATTCGGAGACTCGGATTGACGATACTGAAAGATCTCCTAGCCAAGCACGACTTGGACAATCGGTACCAAAACAAAGGACAACACAGTCGAATAGCTTTGCTGTACGTTCCCTGGCTGGGCATAGTTCTGGAAAATCTGAATCGCATCCCGGACGGGCTGGACAAGAAGAAGCATGACTCTATCGGAACCAACAGAATGTCCTGTAGCAGCAGCTACGTATTCGCTCGGGAGTCTACTCCGGCGACCGCTCCACAGACCGTAACATCTCAAACTAGCACCCCCAAGTCCCGAAGCAATCGGGTAACGATGCACTTCGACTGTCCCAGTCCTATACGGTCATCGCTTCATCTGAAGGACACAAGCTTCCTGGCGGCGATCGCTGGCCAGATATCCCTGTCGAATGGTCATTCCACCACATCCTTAAACTCCGAATGCTCAACGCTATCACAGGACGGTACCGTCGTGATACGCAACAACTCAAGCGAAACTAATGGCTCTACCAGGCCTAGCCATGCCAGATCCATCAGCGTAACGCAACCCACCATTATCCAAAGAACGGACAAGTTTACCCCCACGGAAACCAAAGATCTGCTGATAAGCTTTCTATTTGTAGTCAAGCATCTCTCGCCGGATCACATGCTCGCCTGGTGGCATAATTGCACAGAAAGCGAAACCGTTCAATTCTTCACGGCTCTGGACCTCAGTTTGCTCTACTTCCGGTATGTTGGCAAAAAGAACATTCAAATCCAGCATGAAGCCGGCAAAGATACCCGAGCGTCAAAATCCGCCAAGGCCAGTACCCTTCCGGCGAGGATGATGCCACCAAGTAGCGAATCGGCTGGCTCCTTCGATTCCGGAACGCTCAATCATCCGCAAACCCGGGAGAATCTAGTCGAAGAAACGATGCGCCTTCATCGGGCGCTCTACGAATCGAACCTGGCGACGGAGATCGGCTTGATCATCCTCGACTGCATGGGACTCTACTCGATACAATTTCGGGACTCGATGCTGGAGAGTTCCGTTCTACCGAAGATCGCCCGAGTCTACCTGCGGTTTTTACAACTGGGACAGTCGGAATCCCTTTCGAAGCATGTCTTTGCAGCGCTTCGCGCTTTCATTAACAACTTCTCGCAAGCTCTATTCAAGGGAAACGCCATTCTATGCGGACAGCTGGTCTACGAGTTGCTCAAGTGCTGCGACAGCCGACTTTCCAGTCTACGGCAGGAAGCTTGCGCTGTTCTCTACCTTCTAATGCGAAGCAACTTCGAGTTCAGCGGTCGAAAAGGACTAACCAGAGTTCACCTGCAGGTGATCATCTCCGTGTCGCAGATGATCGGTAACGTGATCGGGTTGAACAACGCCCGCTTCCAGGAATCGCTCTCGATCATCAACAGCTATGCAACAAGTGATAAGGCGATGAAGGGAACCGGATTCCCTATGGAGGTCAAAGATCTAACCCGGCGAGTACGGACCGTCCTGATGGCCACAGCTCAGATGCAAGCTCATCACATGGATCCGGAACGGTTGCTGGAGCTGCAGCACTCGCTGGCAAATTCGTACGCATCGACGCCGGAGCTGCGGCACACGTGGCTGGTGACGATGGCCCGCAATCACGAGCAGAACGGAAACATCTCGGAAGCCGCGTGCTGCTATCTGCACATCGCGGCGTTGATTTCCGAGTACCTGAAGCTGAAGGGTTGCTGCTCGGTGGCATTCGGGGCGGAGTCATTTTTCAAGATCTCCCGGAACATTCCGCGGGACGAGAAGGGCCTGAAGCTGGACAGTGGTGCGTCGGATTCGCAGTACACGGAACAGCTGCTGCTGGACCAGCTGAAGGAATGTGCCGAGTGTTTGGATCGAGCCGAACGGCACGAGTGCCTCGGGGAGCTGTACCGGCTGATTGTGCCGATTCTGGAGGGCCGCCGGGACTATCCGGGGCTGGCACAGTGCTACGAACATCTGATGCAGTCGTACAACCGGGTGATCGAGTTCAACAAGAGCGGGAAGCGCCTGCTCGGGCGGTTCTACCGGGTGATCTACTACGGACAGGTAGGTGGATTGTTGTTTGTATGGAAGAGACTTTTCGTTTGTCAGGTGTAGTTTGTAAAGTATGTATTCAGAAGTTGAAATGGGACCAGTTCTAGGCCAAATAAGATAAAAATTTAAGACTCGACCTGCATTGAACTTTGCAAAATTATGTGTTATTGGACATCCACATTTTTGCAACAATTCGGCCATTTTGGATCATGTGTTTTTTCAAAATGGCGTCTTTGACATTTTTCAATAAATTGTAGCACTAAAACGTAATTTGTGATCAAAATTACGCCTGAAACAAAGCTGTTTTGTAAAGTCAATTAATGCTGGGAAAAATATACACGGTAATTTTTTGTTTTGTAATTTTAAGTGAAAATATAAAAAAAAAACGTACTACCAACCGGTGGAAACTAACGATTTTAAATTTGCTTACTACTTACTACTAGCCTATTGGCCCCAAGCAAACGATTAACGTATTCCATTCTAGTCGAAATTCTAGTACTACGAAATGTTTGATTCGCTATGAAAGTTTGACGGATAAAATGAGGGGTTCTTTGATTTTCCTATGTTTCGAGGGGTGCATCGATTAGCATGGAACCAATAGACAATGGACACTTCAAAGTTGACCAACTCGTGAAAAATATCGAATATGCTGAATTTGGAAAAAAAAATAAATAGGCGTCAGTCAAAATGGCCGAATTCCTGCACAAACTTCTTGTTTTTTCTTTTTCTTTCGTTTATTTCACGTCGGTCTCTGTTCCGCAATCTAGTGCTGACGACCGACGGACATCGATTACCATCCATTGACGGCAATCGAATGTGCAGGAAAGGCCGCTTGCACACCTGCATAGGATATCGCACCCACAAATGGGCCGGGACCAACAACTTTACTTCCCTTCCGAAGGAAGACGTGACCAGAGATTTTTATGCCTCAGAAAAAATCCCACCTCTCTCGGCTGGGATTGAACTCAAACCCATAGGGGTGAGAAAGCAGTCACGCTTACCATAGATCAAACTTGGTTCATTGTTTCTAGTGAAAAATTCACTGCCATCATTTCAAAGGGGCGTAATTACATTTGTAAACAATGACTTCAGCCGTCAATTTATCGTGAATAAAACCTCACTTATGAAAATTAATGACACCAGCAGGTTGATGAATGTTTTCTCTACCAGCTAGCATTGTTAATATGGAGGGGTGAGCTTTTATTTGCGAGAAATCGACGATAATTACGCTCCTATGAAATGTCGACATTGAATTGTTCTAAGTTTCATGGAATGCTGAGAGGTACAATTTATTTTTTTTTCACTATTTGACCTGGAATTGCTCTGCTCTGATACAAAAACAAAACATTCTAGAGTGCCATGACTGTTCAGTAATCAGTTTTCACCTTTCCAGGCCTACTTCGAGGAGGAGAACGCAGTGGAGTACGTGTACAAGAAGCCGAAGGTGACCTCGTTGAGCGAAATTTCCGAGCGGCTACACAAACAGTACCGGGACAAGTTCGGCAGCGACAACGTGAAGATGATTATGGACTCGTCGCCGGTATGATTCGGATTGCAATTAATTTAATCGAAAATTTGAACTTTAACTTACTTCTCCGGACAGGTCGACGTAACTTCGTTGGACCCAAAGATGGCCTACATCCAGGTAACGCACGTGATACCGTTCTTCTGTAAGGATGAGCTGGAAATACGGCAAACGGAGTTCGAACAGAACCACGACGTGGATACGTTTATGTACGAAACACCATTCACTCCGAACGGTGGAGCACGTGGCGCGGTGGAGGATCAGTGGAAGCGAAGAACTATTCTAACCAGTAAGTGTTGATTCAAGGGAAATTCTAACTGAATGTCTGAACAACGTCTGGATTTTCCTATTCTAGCTCAATACAGCTTCCCGTATGTGCTGAAGCGCGTTCCGGTCAAGGAGCGACAGACATTGGAGCTGAGTCCGATCGAGGTGGCGATTGATGAGATGCAGGCCAAGGTGGCCGAACTGGAAGAAGTCGTTCTGGGGCCGATCGATCTGAAGAAGCTTCAATTGCGGCTTCAGGGTAGTGTAGCCGTGACAGTCAATGCCGGCCCGTTGGCATATGCTTCCGCTTTCCTTGATCCCAAGCAATGCTTCAAGTACGCCTCGGACAAGGTGGAAGATTTGAAGGATATCTTCCGGTAGGATGGCTCTTATTTACTGTAATCCGAAACTAGTTACTAAACGAAATCCTACAATTACAGTGAGTTCATTCGGATTTGCTTCACGGCCCTGCAGATCAACGCCAATGTCATCTCGTCCGACCAGCGGGAGTACCACAGCGCACTGAAGGAGAATTACGAAAATCTGTGTTCAGCACTCAGCGATCTACTGGGGGAATTCATTTATCCTCTGGACGACAGCAACAACAACGCTCATCGCCACAGTCTTGCCTTGTTCAGTGCCATCAGCGGGGCACCTAACAACTCTAGTACCGCTTAAGGCACCCCGCTTAGAAGAGGTAATTTTTGACGTGATTTTTGGATGCCCCCTTTCAAACATACATTCACAGAACAACGCACAAAAATAGTTGTTGATGGAATTTTTCAAATAGGATCAAAAAAGGACTTACAACTAGGAAATGGGTTTGCAACAAGTAGGTAGAAAACATTGTAGCTGAAAATTTACCCCCCACCAAACATAGGAAAATTTGCGGAATCAAATTGCACAAATTCAGTCCGGAAGTCTGGACAAGATGGGAAATGTACGAACTAATTTTCAAATCTCACTTTTTCCGGAAGTTTCATTCGGCTCCGTAGAGTTTGCCAAACCCCACACTGGAAAAAGTGAGCATAGAACAATTCAAACATTTTCCAAACAATTAGGAAATCGATTTGTGTTGGCATCTTCTCTTTCGGCTCCACGCCTCAGGAATTTGTCAGCAATCTGCCAATCCTGACAAAGCCCCGATTCTGTATTTATTGTATAAACAAACCCAACCACACAATCACTGGAAACACGTGTTATTGTTATTAGCAGCAGGCGCTATATCTAGAATCTCAATTATTTAGATGTTGTACGACGTAGAAATTGAAAAAAAAATAACCTTATAATTGATCACATGCAATCAAATTTGATTGGAGATTTATATAAAAAAAAAAAACTTAGATACGGAATTTTGGGGCGACAGCTCGGAAAATTTCAAATTGGAACTTACCTCGCATAACTTAGTTTCAGTTAAATCACGAGTCCTTTTTATTGAAGAGCGATTCAATCTAGGCACCTACGAATACAGTAGTCTCTGCCAGCGAAAAAGTTATCGCATTATGTTTTGTGCTTTTTTCTTACTTATCTTTTTCCTTCTCGGTTCTTTTTCAACGTAGTTTTTAATTTCCTCGTTTCAAAAACGATAAAATCTATAACATAGCTAAAGATAACTGAATAACAGTAGGTTATACCCTAACAAATAACAAATACCCAAGACTGCAATATGGTAAATCGATTCAAATTAAAACAATTTATACAAAAGGCATAATAGCCTCTTGATGTATGTGCACCGTGATTTTTAGAATGAATTTTTAAATCAAACGTCTTTTACTGATACTCTTGTACACCCAAAAGCAACGCGGTAAAAATCTGCGACTTTTGAGTGTGCGTAAACAACAGTTCTTAAACATATATGGTCTAACTCTTATGGTATCAAACCTCCTTTTAATTTACATCACATTTTGTTACTAGTCAGTTTATGAACTTTACTTTTGTATATTTTATGTAAAAACTGTATGCATATATCCTCTGCTTAACGCTATGTGTGCATGATAAATTCTTTCGTTTGAGATGTTGTAAATATTCGTGTGGAATTGTTTTAATTTCTGATTTAAATCTCTAAAACATTTTTAGAAATATAACCCTGTGACGAGAAAAAAATCTATCCGAAGTTGTTGTTTTTAAATGTTAGTTTATCGAAATAAAATGAAATTTTATGATATTTTATCGCAATCAGATGTATTATATTGTTATCGTCTTGATGAGCTAGCTGTTACTTTTCGCTTTCTTTCGAGATTTAATTTAAATTATTCAATAACCTGCCTTTCCAAACTTCTATTGGAAAAGTTAAAAGCATAGCTTACTCCTACTCACTCCAGTGTGAAGTAAACAAAATAAAACTTCTCGACAACACCACATTTAATCATCACTAAAGTGCGGTGATCTGCTTAATGGGAATCTCAACCGATCTTATCTGTAATTGTAATCTAACAAGTTGTTGTTGGTTAATACTATAGGAACCCTGTAACAGGTTTATGTGAACATTATACACGTATATAGTATAACATAATTAGTTATAATTAAACTCGAACACACAGTCAGGTAGCATCTGAACCAGGAACAAAAGCATACAATTCGTAACATACTTAGTAATTGGAACACGACTTTACACATTTATTCGAAACTAGGTTTTAAGTAGGCATTATTTTCCAGCAAATACAACAAAATATACACCCAAACATAAAAATGCTGACCAAATGGTGTTATTTAACAACTCACGCTACTGTCAACCCAGTAAGCATCCGTAGGTAACAACCAGTTAAACATTCAATACGGAAATACACATAGACAAAGAATATCTCTAATGTAACCCAAATGAAAAAAAGCTAAACGCAACACATTATGCTATCTCTTCTTACCAATACATACGCAAACACAATGTTAAGCGGAAGTTGTACTCGAATACTGTAGTAATGGATATTAAGTAAATGGCTTCATACATTTAACCATCCAGGCTCGTGAATCATTTTCGATGACATTCCCTGTTAAGAACTTTTGAAACTCTTTAGTAATATATTTTTTGCTTTATCCCGTCACTTTTACTGCCCATAACCGCATGTTAGTCCCACTAGCCAACTCATGCAGCTGAGAAAAACGCAGTTGAATCCACCGCAGGTTTTCTTTTTTGACGTAGGACTACGTCTTTGATTTCTATATGGGGGTACACTTTGTGAAAACCGAAAATGGAGCATGTAACAAATTATGAAAGATTTTGAACGTTAATAACTCAGCTGCTCCTGGTTTAATTTCAATAATTTTACCACCAATCGATCATAAATATGGCTACGCATCGATAACAATGCTTCCGAACATTGATTTTCAACAAGAAACTATTGAAAAACTGGCAAATGTCCAGCATTGTCCAAAAGCGTCGAATTAACTAACAAATCCACCAACTAGCTAGGATTTGTTTTACTTCATATTTCACAAAATTGCTTTCGAGTGTTAAGACATCGTCTCGCGCAAAGTTTACATTTTTCCCTCTACCAACACACACATCAGGGCTAGATAGATCTCCACAGGATTTATAGAATCCACGCAATTTCAAAAAACCAAAATGCACAGCATTACGAAAAAAGGTCAGGTTTCGACCAATAGCAGATAGATTTTAATTCTAAACAAGCCAAACGATTGAAAATTTATGTATCAATCTGCTAAAATGAACACTTAGTTAATTTTCAATAGGTCACTATTGAAAAATACCAAATGTCCAACTGTTGCAATTTTACAATTTTTTGCGGAAATACGGATCCGTAGGCAAAATCTACGGAATTCGGTAAAGTTTCTACGGATTTTTTCTTCAGTGTACGTTTTCAGAATCGAATTTTACAATCTGATTCTGAAGGCAAAGAAGCATAAAATAAAATACACCTCTACAACTTGTCAACCGTTTTCTTGCTCACTTATCCGCTTTTTGAGTAAACAAACGTCAGACTGTGCGTGAAACATGGCGGCCTTCGTAAACTATCTCTTCACTCCGTCGAAAGTTCTCATAATATACCAGCCCAGTGGCAGGCGCGTAAAATAAATGATCTGAGCCCGGGACATGCTGCCTACTGTCAAACGCTGCTGTTGGTATTGGCCTTGTCACTGGCCTGTAATATACAGTCAATCTTTGCATGAAGAGAAAAATTTTCGACGGTGCCGTGTGAAGGCGATTAAAAGTCATGTCGAGACCAGTCTTGTAAGCGGTCACCGTAGTCGACACATTTTCTGTGATAATCGACTGCCTTTGCTACCGACACTTGCAAAACAAGCTTTCAAATTACAATACCAAACTAAAATGTCATACGACACTATCGCCGAAGACCATCACGGATGTAAGTATTTTAGTTTTTCTCATAATAAGCAACGATGTCATAGTAATAACCTTTTTTGATCAGAAATGGTTTAATTTACACCAAATTGAGGAATTAGAACGAAATCGTATATGTCATATGATAGTCATTTGATATTTTCTGTTTGCTCGAATGTTGTTCTACCGTTTGCGTTATGTAAGAGAGACGACGCTCTCTTCCCCGTCAGCTCGATGATGATCAGGCCTTCAACGTGTTCATCAAAAAGCATGTAGTCCATAAGTCGTCGTACTTGTCCGGCTTTATAAAGGAAACTACGATTAAAGTGTGGCTTTCTTATTAGAGTACGACAGCACTGTACCACCGCTACGGGATCACAATTGATCAGATCGCCATAGATGGTCTTGAAACCCCTGTAGTGGATCCTCAAATTAAGCTGGAAACCATTGCCGTGGATAATGATACAGAATCGCTGCTTGGGCAACAGGAAACGCTCCTTTAGAATGAGAACAAATGCCTGGAGATCGCTCCCGCGCAAAACAGGGTTCCTCTGTTTTTAATATATGACGAGCACGGCGAAAAGATAGCTTTTCCTGTCATTTGTTTCGGCCATCTACGGAAATTCAAGCCAGTGGTTCGGGTGACATATTTCATGATGGCATCCAGTGAAACTCGTCGTCAAGACAGGCGTGTGGCCAAACCACATTTGTTGTATATGACAATGAAAGTTCTTCGGCTTAGAGTTTCCGAAGGCTTGCAATGTACTTTTAAGTGCACGGCGACCGAAATCATTACACGTGGACCTTAAGGACCGCATTATTCATGGAGCAGTGCATTGAGCGAAATCTATCCTTCCTCAAATCAGTACCGAATTCAGTACAGTATTGGCAACAAAGGAAGAGAAATTTGTTCACCATGATGCGACAATTGGGAAAGCCTACGATGTTCCTCACACTCAGTGCAAGTGAGATGAAATGGCCCATTTGTTGAATCTCTTACATCGGTTGTCAGAACGACACAATGGCAATGACTTAACAGATCCTATCCAGGAATTGACTGCACTACAAAGAGCAACTCTGATGAATGATGATCCAGTCACGAGCTGCGTATAATTCAACAAGCTGGTTGACACGATTGAATTTCAGCACCGTGGAAGTCCTCACGCGCACATCTTGCTATGGCTGAACAAGGATCCCCGGGAAGCAATCAGTAAAAGTATGCCAAAAACTACAGGTGCAACAGTATCATGCTATTCATGCCAGTACTACTATCGGCCCTTTTCAGGGCCACCAAGATTTCCCAAAAGAGTTAAATTTCTGAACATGTCCCAACTTAAATTCATATCAAAAGCTTCTTTTCAGGGCAATCATATTCATACTAAAGAGTATAAACAGAGAGAACCCCACTCAAATTCCTATTCCTACACAAAACACAAGTTCTGCTGCAGTTAACAAATAACATTTATTATATAGAGACTACGTAGTCCGACGTCACCATTCGTACAACCCCAGAGGGCTGTCTCTAGTATTTTTTTTTTTCAAAAGTTCTTTCATAGATTTATCATTTAACGTAAAGTATCACATTAGAGCTAAAAAAATAACAGCTTCGACCAAAAAAAAAATCCGTAGAAATCCGTAGATTTGAATAAGTCTACGGAATTGCATAGAAAAAAATCTGGCATCTCTGAGCAGCAGTAGTAGCAGCAGCAGTAGTAGCAGCAGTAGTAGCAGCAGCAGCAGGAGTGCTTTTAACAACAACAACAACTAAAGGCTGCCTGCAAGCAGCGAGCTGCAGAGCTCATATGAGCAACCATAGAGAAGGAGGAAGTCCCACCGCTAGGCTAGGATCGGAATCAGTAGCTCGTCGTGCTCAGCTCAGCATTACTCAACCATCACTACAAAATGGTCCTTTTCAGGACCACCATAAATTTGTTAAGAGTATTATTTGAACATTTGTCAAGGTCATCAGTTCCCGCAAGCAGCTAGCTATCAAGGCTCAATATGGTATCTATAGAAGGTGTGGAATTGTAGGCCCGAATGTATTGGTGAGATTAATCATCGTCCGACCATTTTCCAGAACACGCTGGTACGAAGTGTTAAAAATCCATATAGAATTTGAGAGAAGTGGGAATAATTCGCTTTGGGTAGTCCCCAGAAAGCCAATAAAATCAAATTTATGAGAAAATTAGCTCTCACGAGTTCAATCTCTCAAAGCCCCTCCTTTTTTACATATTCTGCACAAACGATACTTTCCGCCCCGCCCCATTCATATTATTCGGAATACACTATAATACCAAAATGCACAAAACTTAAAAATTCATAAATAACAAAAAAATTAAACTACACCTTTTAAAGTCGGATAGATGAATCGAAAATACTCAAGTTGACAGTCCCTTGGATTCTCTTCATCAACTTCCTCTTTGAAATAAATACTACAAATTTGATACGCTTACAAATAAAAAACGGAAAGAGTTAAGATAGGGTTTTTGATCTAATTTCCGTCCTACTAAGGACATCCCGCACTTTACCACGCTTTTTGGAAAGCGTTTGAACAAAACATGGAATGTTTTCATCAAAGATAACTTCTAAATTTATCCACCTTTCCATACGTACCGTTGGATTTGATAAAGAGTCAAACAATGTTGAGATATTATTAAAAATCTAACACTGCTTCTTGATTCTAAATCCGTCCTACGAGTTTCAATTCCGTCCAAACGCATTGAAACGCCATTATATTTTCTTCTCCTACGGATAAACGTTGAAAAAGGAGATTCGCTAGGAGCGCTTCTTTTGTTTTGAGAACAGTGAGCGTAAATATGCATACAATGCGCTCTAATAGGATTTATGTCGTAGCTAATGAACTAACGCATCGGAACAAACGTATTATTGTTTTGTGCATGGTGAAATCATTGATATCATTGATGATTTCTGCTCGATAGAACGGAAATGGGCGATTACAACGAAGTAACGTTCTTCCCTAATTGATCAATTAAAAGAACTAAATGTTCACATTTGTTCCGTCCACTAGTGGTCCTACGTCAAGCTTCCGTTCGTGCCCCTAGGCACAGACCCTTCTACTTTTTATTGAGTTAATTTGATAGCAAAAGATGGAAATATCCATAAAATAAGTTAAAATACAAATTAGTAAATACATTTATTCCTTCATTATTTTTGATTTAAATATTGTTTAACAGTTTGCGAAAATAGGAATGAGACCGATATAAACGCATATCAGTATCGCAGCTTGCTATGATGCATTGGCGTTGACGGCGACTGCTACCCTTTACTTCTATGCAAGGGGCAAGCCATCTCCTAATCATGAGCTTTTTTTTTATTGACTTCTAATGATCTTTGTTTCATTCCTAGTTGAACACTCAGTCGGTTAACAACGTCCCGGTCTCAGTCGCGCGGCATCTAATTTTTTTCGGTGTTTTTTCCGTCCGAGCGGTTTTTTCACCCCCCCATTGGGTGCCCCAAGTGACCAGTGTGCAACAGAGGAAGTGGAATTCCATGGGCCGAGCCCCTTGGAGTTGCCATCCAGCTTTAATCCACCCCGGTAATCCATCCGGTCGTCAAGTCATTTTATCATCATCGTGCCGACCCACCAAC